CTACGAGCAAAGGATAGAAACCATTAAGCTCAAAGCATGTTTTTGTTCTGTTACACAACCGGATATGACATCATTAGTATTTCTATGTCTTGTTATCTGTGTAATTTGTTTTAGTGGAGAACAAGATAATATCCAGAGTGTTGTGCTTGGCATGATGAGTGACAGAAAACTAACTGTTGTGTTCCTAGGAATGTGGTAGCCAATATTTATGCTAAAAAAACATTAAATACAAGTCTAAAGCAAGAAAATGAATCAGATATGTTGAATGTAAAGTATAAAATGATTGTGATAACATCATGAAACTTCTATGACAGTCAAGTTTTTTGAGACACTTCTGAATTTAAGGTAACAATTACGCTTGCCGTTTTAAATTGTTTGTTAGTGGTCTGTTATCATTTTATGGATTGAAATGTTTTACGTGGAATTGTTTGTAATTTGCCAGCATAACATTCTGAGTTACGCTTGAATGTTTGGCCATAAATGAATTGCATTAATGCAAACTATATGTGGTAGACAAGATGAGTCACTGATCGGTCACACCAAAATGATCGTAGCACAAGAAATAGCAATAGAACAACTGACAACATTCATCAACATTGCTATGTATTAAAATTGATTTATTCATAGCATCTCTGACTGGAAAGTTATTATTACTGTTTCGGGCGCTGATTAAAACGATAACATGCAGATACTGTTTTATGATGCTATGGTAACAGGTTTGTTTGCCCAATATAAGTTGACTATGAATGCATATCAATGTTAACAATGTTTTAGAAGCTGATAAATATCTCCATATTTGTTCCTGATGAGTCGTTACCGCAATCTATAATTAATTTGTTGGCTATATACTAGAAAATGTGCTCGTGAAACACGCCGATTACACAGTTTTGCTTTCTAAATCATTTAGCAATTTTTTTATCAAGAAGTGTTGTCATTTGTTGAGTAAACAGGCATGTCATCTTCTTAAAAATTTTATTTACGATTACGCTTCTCATAGATAGTGACCAGAAATGGAAAAACAAGGTCAGGATAGGAAGATACTATAAATGAGAGTTACAGTTTTGGACAACTTTCAGATATAAATAGTTGCAACAGAGGAGGGAGTATGCTGTTTATCAGTGTATTTGTGCACTACATTCTGTTGATTACGGCATCAGATAGCGAATCAAGCAATAGCAATCACGGTACGAGTCCAACAAGAGCAAGTGCCGTTCAGCTTAGAGAACTCCGAATCGGACATGATTTTGATGTACATGTTCCGATGGACCAGGGAGCTAAACAGGATCAGACCAAAAAGAGTCATACCGATCCTGTGGTTGATGACGAAACGAAGCGTAACACATTAGATAGACGACTATTGAAGACAAAGAGTAGGAATAACTCCTCGTTGTTGAATGAACCCACCAAATTGGATTCAAAAAAGGAGAAACAAAGAGATAAAGAAGATACATCAAGTAATGCA